TATATATATATATATATATTATATGGGTTGCCTTAAGTAATGCATATAAACAAACTCACTGCTCATCAATAATGTTGTTTGAAATACAGTAAATGCTGCTGGGAACCAACCAAAATGAATGTATTCTAATGTGCATGTGTGTGCGCGCGCGCGCGTGTGTGTGTGTGAGTGCTGTGTGCCTTGCCTAAGCAAACATTCCAACATTCAATTAATTACACTCGCATTCATCATGCATTCATTCATTTTTATGTAAGCATTCACTTTCTTTCACATATGCATGCAGTGCATGACACATTTACACAGGCATTACATTAACACACTGAAAAATTTCTGATAAGCTGGTGGTATTAATTACAATAAGTATATATTATTCAGTGTAATTGAATGTATGCTATTTATTTTAAATGTAAGTGGCCTTTAGAAAATTCCTCTGTTGTATATACTGCCTAATTTATTTATTTCTATTCCGCTTGCATGTGTAGATAACTTTCTACACAATTTCAATGCATTTTAGGAAGCTTATCATTCAAATATGTAGAAACAAATACACAATTATATTATTTACTTATTATAATTAATTTCATCTGTTTATTTATTTGTTTGATTATTTTATTAAATGTATTGAGTACATTTTCTATTATTTCAGTTGTTTTTTATTCAGTTAACATGCTATCTCATCTGCTCCATCAGTTAACTTAACAATGTCTAGACCATCATTACCTGCCTGCCTGCTCATTATTATTATTATTATTATTATTAATTATAATAATTATTTCATTATTAATATTTGGTATTTGGAGTTAGAAAATAAAAGGATGTTCCCATTATTATTATTATTATTATTAGTATTATTTTACCTAGTTATTAAGTAAACATTTACCTAGATTTTTCTGTTTTCATAACTTGCATTTTTTATGTTTTTTTTTTACTTCATTTAATAATTTTATTATTTTTAATTTTTTATTGTCAATTATTAAAAGATAAATGATAAAATTTAAACTAGTTTAAATAAATCTAATTCAGTTATCTTTTCTCTCTCTCTCTCTGGCTCTTTTTTTAAACACACTTACACACACACATGAATATATAATTTATATTATAGATGAGTAATTTCAATTTGATTTATTTACAAATACATCACATTAATGTTTTTTTATTGTTTTAAATTCCAGTCCTAAATTGTTCAGTTAAGTTATATTTTCCAAATAAGATGTTTCAAGATTACAATATAATGGCCTCACTAATGGTTTAAAACAATTTTTTTTCTTTCTTTTTTACTATTTTAAATTCAGTTTATTTACTTATTTGTGTATAAGGATAATTATAATTGTTGGTATAATTGTTGGTATAATTGTAATTAAAGGTATAATTGTTGCTGATTAGCTGTGAAACTTTTTATGCTCTTATCAATCTTTGATGAACATAATTTTGGTGACATGATGAAATGTTTGACATCTTTTTTAATTTTTACATAGTCTAATTAAAAAATATTTTAAAGCATAAAATATTTTGCATTAAAATTTGTTTAATCATATTATTTGTTTGATTTAATTTTTCATTTGTTAAAAGTTAAGTTTCTATTCAGTGCAGTACATTAGGTCTTTGTTTTTTTTTTAATTTATTTCATACTCATAAATTATCGTGCACTTTTAATTTTGTTTAGAAATGAATTTTTTTTCGTTAAGTATAAATGAAGATTTGATTTGCTGGTGTTGAGATGAAGATGGGTGATATCCTTCCTATTGTAGTGTTCAATCATCTCCTGTTTCTTACTTGCTTCTCAGCACCAGCTCAATTAATTATTTTGTTTGCTCATCAGATGAGAATTCATTTCCCATTCACTGATTGTATTGTATTGTTATTTCTGTTCTGTGTTTAGTTTTTGCTGAATTTTCCTGTTTTGTTGTTCCACTAATAATGTTAGATATTTTCAGTTTGTGACTCTTCTATTAATCACTTCCCAGTTAAATAATTTAATCTGTCCGGATATCTCAGAATTATTGTAAAGCATTTTATCACTTCAACTTTTTCCTGCATATACATTTCATATATTTTTCCAGTTTTTAATGCTATGTGTCACCTAATAAATTATAAAAGTTGTTTCTTACTATGGCTTCAAGTATGGCTTAGAATTTTTTCCTTTCTGTTGTTTAGTTATGTATTTAGACTTTTATTACTTTGATTTTTTGTCTCTAAAAATTTAATAGACTTGGAATTAATGTTTTTGAAGTTATTTATTTTGGTCTACTTCGTATGGTTTTTCCAATTTTTATGATTTTTTCATATTCAGTTTTATGTGATTTTTTTTTATTAATTTGTTGAAAAGTTACTAACTTTCAAGTTTGTTAGTTCATGTGATGAGGTAATATGTTAACAAGTTATCAGAATGTTTAAAATATTTAAAAAAATCTATTAATGCAATTTGGTTTTAAATCAAACTAATTTGCTGCATAATGTAAGAAGAAGTTTTGAACAACTGTTAAATCTAAATGTTCACACGTCCATGTAACATTTCATGGTTTGGTTGTTTTATGATTCTGATGATGTATGTAGGATGTTTATACAATTGCTGCTGTATGCGCATTTAGTTCATCTGATGTATGTTTCACTTGTGTCCACATAAATATTGAGCACCAACTCCTTCTTGCTGCTCTGTTAAGGGAACGTTGCATTGTTCGTGTTGAAATCTTTTGTGGCTCCCACCAAAGTTATGCCACTACGTGATATAATAACACGACCAAAAAATTCGGTAGCTTTTACTGTCCGCTGCTGTCCACTGCAAAATGGGCTGCTACATAGTTTTTTTTTATTAGTTTTTATTTTTAAGAAATTGTCTACATATTCTGAGTGTTTTGAGAAATGTAACATAAAATTGTTTGGAAAATGTAAATTCAAAAAACATTTTGCACAAAAATCTTTTTTCGTTAAAATCGTTAAAAAAATTAGAGATTTATGATGCCATAAACATTCTCTCAGTAGCAGTCTGCTTTAAAGTACACAACAATGCTCATGATTTACAACAATTGTTTAAGTTTATTTGCTGAAATATGGAGAGGCAGGCAAATGTAATTAATTAAATGCTTTGAGGATTTTCCACATTTAGATCTTCATAAATAACTTTATTGTTGTCAAATGTGTTATTTATATAAAATATAAACATATATTGGATGGTAAAAATTAAGAGAGCATTAATGATGTTTCTGACCATGCAGATACGAGCATTGCCATCATCAATGGATCAGCGAAGGACTTGCATGAGTTGTTCTTCAAGACGTACAACACATACTACAGTTCAAATTCTGAAATGTTTGCCAACCTCTACAACACGTTGAGACTTTATCTTAGAGGTGACAATATCAACCTTGTGAAGGTTTTTGATAAGTTTTTCATGGAACTTGTCAAAAAGTTATTCACACTCACCAATGCTTCCTACAAGTTTGATGACAAGTTGGTTTAGTTGTTCTGTCACAATTTAGATAAAGAATGAAATGTTTAAACTTATTTTATGAAAATTCTGATAACCTTTAATCATTTGATTTGCAACATCATGCCATAAATAAATTTTGAAAAATAAAAAATGAAGTGTTCAATGACGTTGGTGTTCATTTTTATTACTTAATGGTATTTTTGTCAGCTACCAAATTGTAAACTTTTGTGTTCAAATATATATATGTTGCTTATATTTTATGTGTATGTGTGCCTATGTTTACATTTTTCTGACTGTGTTTGGCTGTATGCATTTATTTTAAATCAAAGAATTAGATTGACTAAAATCAAATAGCCAAATAGTAAAAGGAAGAAATGAAGCCCTGTTTTTATTACATTTTTAGAGAAGGAAAACTTCAGTTTATTTTAGCAAATTTTTAAATCTAGATCCATTATGTTTGTTCGTTATTTTGAGAACCATTCCACATGAAGATAAATCAGTTTTTTTTCTTATATATCTTCTGCTGTGAACATCACATCAAAGGCTCCTATAGATTTTTGAGAGATCAAAGCAGTAATTTATTTCTTCTTTCACTGACTGTTTTGACTGCAAAGCATTTGCACATTGCTGAGTTGTGAGTTGCATTCAACCAACAACATTTCTTTGCAGTTCATCTTTTATTTTCACACATTTTCATCGCTTTTTTTAATCATAAATCACTGAGTAACGAAACTGTTTATTGCAAATATAGTAAACATTTCTTGCGAGATTAATTTTATAAAAACAACCAAATTTCCACAATAAGTTTAATGAACATATTTTTATATTGATTTAACAAATTGCGTGGCAGGTATCTTGAATGTGCCGGCAAGCAGATAACCAGTGTACAGAATTTCAGTCAGAATACTTATTCAATATTTAATCTAATCAAGAGGTCTATTGTCACTACGAGAGTCTTCATACAAGCTCTGAACGTTGGCAAAGAGGTTCTTGCACTCTTGTCGCAGGTATTTTATTTTCATTTGAACTTACAGATATTCCTGGGTTATTCTGTATTGTCAGTTGATACTCAAAAAACATATAATTTGCTTTAATGTTTAATTCTTCCTTAATAAATTATTTTCAATTGTTTTTCTGGTGTCAATAAGTGATTAAATGTAAAAATGTTAAATTAGATAGAGCTTGATCAAACGTTCAAAAGATATACTAAATATGGAATGCTATTGAAAATGCAAAATCGATGAAGAGAAATGGAGCAAAAGAAGCGGGGAAACTAATATTTCAATTGATTTATAACCATCGGTTTTAGCTTAGGTGAGGAATTATTTACAGGAATGCGAAAGCGTTTTTCAATCATCAATACATAGGCTCATGTTTTGTTAAGGAGCATCATCATTATCCTTTAGAGGCATTTATTCAAAGCATTTTATACAGCTACAATTTGTTTCATGGGAATTGTTGGTATCCACAACTTAATTGAGCAACCACAATCAGATAAATAAGATTGGTTGGTAGCTTGTTTTCCATGTTTTCTTGAAACTAGAAATAAATCTATAGTTATACTTTTTATTATTTAAAAAATTTTTTTCAATATTTTGTAATAGTGATGAAAATAATTTTTCACAATCACGTTACATTAATTACAGTTGGAAGTGCCGGCAACGTGCGCTGAGACCTTCACACGCATGTCAACCTGCTCATACTGTGCAGGGCTGCTTAATGTTCGACCCTGTCATCAGTACTGTCTCAATGTCATGGCCACCTGCTATGCTCCCTACTACGCCATGCACGACAACTGGGTCACTTTCATTGGTTAGTTTATGATGATTGTCTGGTTGAGTCGCACATCGGCTAATATTTTCTCTAGACGTTTTATCAATATTTTTCATTCAATCTTGTGTGTATGTAGTTTTCATAAAATTTTGTTACGAATTACATTTTTTTGTTAGGTTTGATATGATTTTTATTTAACGGCCTACTTCTGCCTCCACGTATTTGATCCTTTGATGCGTCAGCACATTTTTTAATCCAAAAATTTCCATTAGAAACGTCTTATAAATTTTAAACAACGTAAACTGGTTTGAGGAATTTTTGCAATGTTCCACCCATTGCATTGCATCTTATTTCAGTATATTCTATTGCAATTCATTTTTATTAGCAGGCTTAAGAAGCAACAAAACTAATGTTCTCCCAGTGTATCAAGTGTACCTAATTTATTTATCACTAAATGACAGGAAGGAGTTAATAAAATTATTTAAACTGCTTTTGATGTTAACATTTTTATCTTTATATTCCTTTATAAATGTTCTCTATTTTTTAATATAGGCATAGTGAGATAGTATCTCTGTATGTATGTGGTAGGGTATTAGATAATAATAATAATAATAATAATAATAATAATAATAATAATAATAATAATAATAATAATAATAATGGGAACATCCTTTTATTTTCTAACTCCAAATATTAATAATGAAATAATTATAAAATCCTATTTAATCTAAATGGGAACATCTTTTATTTTTCACCATAAAAAAACAGACAATGATAAAAATATATGTATATAGATAAAAATATATATATATAATGATAAAATTTTTAAAAATTGTATAAAATAATATTAAAGGTTGAGACCATTTTGCTGATTGTGAAGTTAAGTGCAGAACGGTGAAATATATTTAATTAGCATCATAGCTTGTTCCTGTCACAGTAAATGTCATACGATAATCTTATAACAGTGTTTATCAATTTATCATTAAATGATAGCGCCCATGGAACTTTAAACAGTGACAAATTAAAATTATTGTAAAAACCAATAGGCGTTATTTCGAATGAGTTTATAACTATTGAACAATGTTCATAGTCTTTATTTAAACAACAATGCAAATTATTAGAGTATTTATTTCTCTTGTATTGCCTAGAGGATTCTAGATTGGTTTCATGGCACACAGTTAATTCTAGAATCTCAATTTTGTTATTTTGAAGTATGGCGATATCGGGTCGTAAAGTGTTGAATAATTGAGATATTGGATATATAATAATAATAAACATTTTGTGTCATCTTTCAACTTCATTCTCTGCTTGTTCTCTGCTCAAAAAACATAAAAAATAAAAAATTAATTCGTTCCGATGGGAAAACTATTTTTGGAGAGCTAATATAAAATAGATGATGAAGATTAATGATTTAACGGTTTTGATGATATACGTCAATGCCTGTAATTGTGATTAGATGTGTGAGTGTGGGTGACTATGGAGCCGACATAATGTTGTGTAATGAATTCATGAATTATGATGATTTGCTGAGGTAAAATGACGGTGATGATGTGATGATCACGATAATGATGGTCGAAGTTGATCGTGCAAGCAATAAGAGGTTCAAATTAGCTGGTTGAAGTTGAGATGAATGGTTATGGTATTATTTAGTATGATGATAGACTGGCTTGCACTGGCCAGAGATTGATGATGAGGATGATATTGACAATGATTGTTGATGGTAACTACTGTGTGTGTGTATGCTTGCTTGATGGGCTCACATGTTGTTAGCCCAATTTATTTTCTTGCCTATATTTCAAAATGACATTGTAGATAACAATTTTCCTACTTGCCACAATTAAGAAATTATTGTTTGGAACAACAACAACAACACACGTTTAGACGACATTTTCCCCGGGATCGGGGGTTGCCGTTTGGCTACCTATGTTGAAACCGAAATACCCCTCGACGCCATTCACATCTGTCACTCGCCTCAGTATCACGCAACCCCGCTTTCACTTTGTCCTTCTCCACCTGCTCTCTCCATCCCAATCGCGGACGACCTCTTCCTATCACTCCTTCAACCTCGAACTCCAACACTCGCCTTATCCCGACCCTTTCATCCCTTCTCAACACATGTCCATACCACCGCAATCTCGATCTCCTTATCAATGTCACAATGTCCTCATTCAGTCCCATCCTCGACATCAGCTCTGTACTACTCCTCCTATCCTTCGCTTTATCCCCACACATCATCCTCACCATAGCTCTTTCAGCCCTCTGCAGTACACTTTCCTCCTCTCTCCTCAACACCCAAGTTTCACCACCATATACCATCACTGCTCTCACACTAGCTTTATATACCCTCCCTTTCATTTTCACTGACCATTTCTTTCCACACAATACCCCACCAAGTTCCCTAAATTTCATCCATCCCACACGAACTCTAGTCGTAACAGCGTTCAAACATCCTCCATCCGCGTTCAGCTTAACCCCTAAGTAAACAAAGCTTTTCACTCTTTCAATACCACCACTCAACCCCGTCCTTGCGTCCGTCCTATTAATCACACCATGAACACATTTCTTACATTTGAACGTGCCTTCCAACTTTTTCAGTGCCCCCCTCACACCACTACATCTCTTATCTTCCAAAGAAATTATTGTTTGGAAGAAATTATTAATTGGAAGAAGTTATTAATTGGAAGAAATTATTAATTGGAAGAGGCATGTTTTGTTTGATGAGGGAATGCACTAAGTTTGGACTAGGTTATATGTAATTGCCTCATTAATTTGTACCGTCCTTTATGTGTGACAGTCTTCGTGTACAATTATTTTAACTGTTCATCTTCACTCGCGAGTTCATGTCTAACATATAAACAGGATTTTCTATGAGGTATTTGAGGTAATGAAAATAAATCTGTGCAAAAAAATCAATAATGAATAATTGTTTGGGGTTCAAACAAAGAGCGAAGACACACCACACTCACAAACGTATACACATCTACACACACACACACACACATTTACTACTCTCACACACACACATAATTATATTTTTGTACGAATATACAGCATCCAAATATCGCGCATACACACACACACACACACACACCACATACTCACACACACAGAGACAGAACATAAGCTCAGCAGTACCCATACAAACACCACAAACACACACCACAGTAATACACGCACACACACGCACCACACACTTATTTACTCAATCGCATTCATACACATTCACCTTTTTCTTGAATCATAAACAGACAGATAAGTAAGTAAACAGACCAGACAGTTTACTTAACAAATTTTGTCTATATATATATATATATGGTTTGAGTGTGTGCGTGCGTGTGTGTGTGAGTGCGTGCGTGCGTGCGTGTATATATATATATAATATATATATATTTATTTATTTCACTTTATTTTTTATTATATAGATTTGTTTATTGTCAGAGTAGGAATAAAATTACAAAAATGAAAAATTGATTCAAGTTTGAAAAGTAGAAAGTGGTTTAAATTATGTGGCTTGTAAGAGTTTTTTTTGAAAGCCTTTTAATGATAGCTTAAGTATTCATAGAGGATCAAATTTAACAACACACTGTAAAAGCGTGTTTTGTGTACTGTAGATTATTTCTCCTACTTTTGTTTAACCGTGCAAAAATTGTGTGGAATTGAAATCTACATCGTAGTTGAAATCTTACATAGCATGCAGACTTTTAATGTTACTCTACTATTTTTTTCACTTTTGTAACTGTAATATTTGTACCGTAGCGTTGGTTGTGTATATTTTAGTTCTAGCTCCTGTTGATTTGGTTGAAATTTTTTTATTTTATTAGTAGTGGCGGCAATAATGATGATTATTATATTTATTATTATTCTTTATTATTATTATTATTATTATCATTATTATAATAAGATAATTATGAAGATTATATAATTAGTGTTATTGGAAATAAATTTCCGACCTGCTTGAGAAGGAACCTGAGGAAGACAGCTGATGATTTGATTTGTCAATTCATTGGGGACCGTCTTAAATGGGAGATCATTTCAATTCAATCCTCCTCTGCCACATATTCAGATTAAAAAAATTAAAATTGAGTGTCAAAAGTTGACAAATATTTTACAGAATTTCTAAAAAAAAGAAAGCTTAGATGTACAAGTCTATAAATGCTATATAGTTTGTGTTTGGGTGAGTGCGTGCGTGTGTGTGCATGTGATGTAGACAATTCAATGGGGCGTACATGAATTTGCCTTGATTTATCCTAGCTCAGTTATTTTATGTCTCTTGTTAGTTGTTTGGCTGCTTTGATATAATTTTTTAATTTATAAAACAAAATTTTTTGAATGTCGATGAGCTCTAGTTGGTTGGTTGTTTGCTTGGTTGTTATGCTGGTTGGTTGGTTGGCTGGTTGATTGATTGGTTGGTTGGTTGGTTGGTTGGTTGGTTGGCTGTTATGTTGGTCGGTTGTTAGGCTGGTTGATTGTTGTAAAGGTATGTTTGGTTGATGTTTGTCATTCTTCATATTGCATTGTTAAGTTTTCACTGGCACGTGGATTTGTAAGCAATCTCTAATTAGAAGGTGGGTGGTTGTTATAAGGCTTCCATGTTAGTATATTTACACATACATTCATATACACAAACATAGTATTATAAATACAATAATTAATAAAATCTTAATAAATTTTAAATTACTGATAAACAACCAGGAACTTGTTAAAAGCTATAAATTCGATATTTTATTAGTTATTGTAACATTATGTAAGTAATGTATAATTTTATATATAAATATTATAAATGTTTTATGTTAAAATTTTATTATCTATTGATAAGCCTAATGTGTATACACGTGTGTGCGTGTGTGTGTGTGCGTGCGTGCATGCGTGCCTTTATGTGTGTACTCGTGTTAGTCTGTGTAAGTGTAAGACCTTCTCAGATATAGTTACGAATCAATTCCACATCATTGCTAGCTTAATTTCCTTTGTGTTATGTCATTTCTAAATTTTGTAAAGTTATTTGGAAATAGTTATTTAATCTATAGATATTAAGATAATTTAGATA